TGTTGTGTATGTTGTTCAGTGTCAGGAGGGTGATCAGTCTTACATCGGGGAAAATAAACAGCCACTGGCCAGAAGAAGACACAGAAGATCAACATCATCAGGCCAGGACTCTGAGGTCTACACTCATCTCCAGGTCAGAGGTCACTCTTTCAGGGATGAAGATGTTCACATCCTGGACAGAGAGGAACGATGGTTTGAGAGAGGAGTAAAGGAGGCCATCTTTGTGAACAGAAACCGTCCATCATTAAACAGGGGTGGAGCCTCCGGGTTCAACTGTCCCCCTCTTACAATGCTGTGATTGCTAGTATCACTCAGCCCTCTGTGAATAGTAAACAGCCATCAGGTGCTAATGATCCATTGTTAGGCTGATGGTCCTTCTTGATCATGTGATCAGCTGGTTTTGGTTGTCAGCAGCAAACTGGTTGATCCACTCTGAGAAGGTGCTATTTAAGAGACTGAGCTGAAAACAGCACCTCAGACTGAAGAAGTCTGTCGGATGAGAGACGAAACGTTTCTACATTTTTTTGTTGTTTTGCTTTGGTTTTTGTTTTTTTTATGTCCAGAGGACCAGATTTAACTTTTTTTAGATTTTTCTACCTGGATTATTGAGCATGCATCAGGATATTAAGTCCAGTTTATTTTTTCTTGAAACGTTTTGAATTTAACGTTAATGAAACCAAACTATACCAGAACAGGAAAATAACATGGAAAAACCCATTTTCACACTAAGAAACATCGTAAACATTGTGGAATCTAGATCGGGTCCATCCCTGAAACTGGTCCAACTCCCCACCACCAGCGGCTGGTACTTTTACTCCCAGATGGATTGGAGGGGAAACTCGCTCTAACTCAAATAAATCAAGAGATATAATTTTAGCTTACCAATTTCATGTCCATAAGGCAGGAAAAGGTTACAGGTTCAGCGCTAAGGCATCCGTCCAACTCTTCTTAAACCAGAAGTGGAGGCCTTGTGTAACAGAACGCCCCAGCTTATATTGGCCCTTGGCTCCGCCTTCACATCCAGGAGCACAGCCTATCAGAGTGTATCAGTGAGGTGACTGTGTGACGCCATTGGTCTTATCTGTTTCTGATGGTGGAAAATGGGGTGAAGTTCAATCTATCTACATGATGGAAGCCAGAATAATAAAAAATTACTCCATATTGTGTGTTGAAATCTGGAGAGCTCACTCAGAGCAGCTGGGCCTGTCTCATCTGTACAGAACTGGGCCATAACTAGACCTGTGTCTGTACAGCCAAGACCAGGGGTCTCAGCATGATAAAGCAAGATAGCTCTTAACAACAGTCATTTGTCAACAATCAACAGCATTACACACATAAATCCTACCCAGCATGCTTCACAACAATCACACTGTCTCTAGGATGTGACTCTCACATATTTCAATTCAGTTCAATTCAATTCAAAAATACTTTATTAATCCTAAAGGGAAATTAAACGAACTGTTTATATAGCCCCTTTCTATCAGATCAAGATACTCAAAGCTCGTTACAACAACCTGTGCCTCATTTACCCCGTTCATACATCTCTATACTAGATCTCTACAAAAATAATTGAAGAAATCTTTCTACAGAGACTAACCAGTGCTTTAGTTCACATTCATACACCGATCAGAGGCAATGAGGGGTTCAGTGTCTTGCCCAGGGACACTTCGGCATGTGACTACTGATGGATTCGAACCCCCTACTCTTGCATTGGAGGACGACTGCTCTAACCACTCAGCTACAGCCGCCCTATTAAATTAAGTGTTGTCGTAGCTCATCATCCTGGTTTCATTCAAGAGTTGTTATAGATGCTGATAGCTGTGAACAGAAAAGATCTCATGCAGCGAATCTGAAAAATCTGGCCACAGATACCGATCTGTCCACCCGGATCCAGCTTGGTGTCAGATCTAGCTGGCCTCTCGGTCCTCCTGGGCAACAGGACTGCCCGAATGCCAGGCAGAATTCCTTCCTGAGCGATGGTCACTCCAGCAGTCTGCAGAGCTCTTTGTCGCCAAGGACAGACAGCTGAAGGTTCCGGGGGATGATCTTTGTCCTCCCATCGTCACGATCCAAGTTTCCCACCTGCTTCAGGATCTCTGCGGTCAGGTACTCGAGTGCCACCACCAGGTTGACGGGAATTCATCCACGGCGCCTCCTTTTCAACTCATTTGTCATTTGCTCTGTAGTTGAAGTATTTGAGCTTTTGAGATGTTAATTATCTGCTCCTGGTTGTTAAAAAAAAAACATTGTTGCCATGGTTACGCATTATAACAAATCCCCAAAATAAAAAGGTTTCAGTAAAAATTCTTCCAGCTGCACAGCATCTGATACCAGAGTAAATAATCATCTGGAAAAAAAAGATTTATATCCAGAAAAAAGAGGAATCAAAGTTTTCAAATGCAATTCTAGAACTCACAGATTTCACACATCCATCCATCCATTACTTTTACACGCTTCTTCCTTTCTGGGTCGCAGGGCTCACTGGTGCCCATGTCCAGCCTTCACTGTGTGAGAGTCGGGGGACACACTGGACAGGTCTCCAGTCCATCCCATGGATATCTGTACAGGTCTCCAGTCCATCACAGGATATCTGGACAGGTCTCCAGTCCATCTCAGGGACATCTGGACAGGTCTCCAGTTCATCACAAGGACATCTGGACAGGTCTCCAGTCCATCACAGAGACAACTGGACAGGTCTCCAGTCCATCACAGGGATATCTGGACAGGTCTCCAGTCCATCACAGGGACATCTGGACAGGTCTC